TATATATATATATATATATATATATATATATATATATATATATATATATACCACAGCTTTCTCAAATATTAGAATATTGACTTGACCAGATCTATAGCTGAACAATTTTATCTTAATTAGCCAATACCAAGTAAATTACAATGTTAGGTGAAGTTTCATTAAATTACCAAGTTTTAATAATTAAAGCATTCATAAAGGAGAAAGCATAGCTCATAACATGTACTCATGTCAAAGGTTGATCCTCTTCTGAATACAAACCTGATGTGCACGTTTGAAAACTCCAATATTAGTTCCATATGCAGCAAAAGTGTAGTCCTTGTAAGATGCAAGAGCTCTGATCTTCTTTGGCAATTGAGGACCTACCATGAATTTTTTGGCACCATATTCAAAAGAAAAAGGAAAAAGCATTAGCCATAACATAACAAAGTAAAAACTGCAAGGAAAATGTCACAGGGCAATAGAACTTTAAAGAATCAGGTTAGATGAGAAAACATCAAATTTTAAGTGATACATGTCTGAAAAAAAGAAGAATATTTAAGATGTTGAATCTCACCTCCAAGCACCAAAGTCAATTTGGCACACTGTAAGAGAAAGACCAAAGGTTAGATGAGAAAAGAAGATAAAACAATAAATACAATATCAAAAGTGTCACCTTAATGATTGCGATAGTTGTAGAAATAAAAAGTGCTGTCTTGTGCGTATCACCAACTTAAGAATTTTAACATGGCATTTGCATACATGAACAACAGACCCGATGAGAGATATGGATCATATCAAAGATACCAGTCATATGGATCATGTACATACCTAAAAGTTCATGCTAATTGACAATAGATGTATAAAGGCAAAAATGAGAGAATATCCTAATGAGAAATTATAAAATCAGATTAAAAAGCTAAGGTCCAGCAGCAAGGATTCAGAATTGGCCAACAACAATAATGATCAGCCTGATCCATTTCCAGAAGTTCTTGAGTAGGTACACCAACCAGCGATCCTAGCATCGTTAGATATTGAGTACACCAACCAAAGTTAGGGTCTTAGAGGAGGACAAGGAGCAGTAGAAGGGAATAAATGCTCAGACCTATCCCCCAAGAGTAACCAATAAAATGAATGAATCGACAACTCTTCGCACAACAAAGTAGCTTATTGAAGTTTCTTTGAGATGAATCATTTTTTTTAGTCATGCATATGGAAAACACTACTAATGTCTCTTTTAACAGATGATCCACGTAAATGTGCAGACATAATTCCATATGTAAATCACCCTTTCCATTATGTCTATGAATTCCAAGGACTTCCTTTGTGGTAACAGACTCATACATGTAAGTTCTTGACCTTGAATAGCAACGATCATATCTGTCTCCCGTTAGTGAAGACTCGCTCTAGCGTTACTTTCATCACCACCATCATGGAAGAAGTACATATTCACATAATATTGCAAAAAATTGCCACTTCTCATGTCACTATATTATGCCCAATGTATTAGTTACTACCAATCTAAATTCAAGACCCTTTTCTGAATGGTTTCCATAGTCAGAATCGACCAACTAGGACAACTCCAATGGAAGATTCAACGTGAGCCCTAATTCTTGAAGAAAAGGAGATATAATAGCGTTCACCCAAGCAGACATTATGGCGCATGTTTCAGAGTACTAAACAAAGGGAATAAAAGAGGCAAAGAAGAGAACAAGTGAAGACAAAACTCACGTTGTAGATCTGCCACGCCTTCTCAACGCTGACGGTGACGAAGGTCTCCGTCCCCAGTCTCTGGACGGCGAAGGGGACGTTGCTGGTGATGTAGCCGATCGCTCGATATGACTCGAATATACCCATCAGTCTCCCCTCCCTTCGTGGATCAGAGGGCGAAGCAAGATGCGAGAGCGAGGCAAGGCTAGAGAAGGGGAGCTCGGCGAAGCCAGCAGCGGGCGGCGGAGAAGAAGCAGCGAACCGCTCAACACCGCAAGCTTTGTTTCGGGGCGCCGCGCGGAGACGTGGGTTTTAGACGTTAGGTTTTTGGCCGGGGGAGCAAAAGTTTCCGTACTCGCGGACGCTTTATCTCACTCACCTACGGTGTCATTGGATCTCACTTCGGGCCCCACATTAACAACCAATAGTATACCGTTCGATCTCGATGCCGAGTACTGATAGTATTATTGGTTAAGAATTGGAAGAGGAGGATCCGCTTACGGGTTAAAAAGAACCCGATAAGCAGCTTTACCGATCCGAATTCCATGAATCGGGTACGGATCCCATATGAACTTGGAACGTTCGTAGATGTAATCGGATCACGAACTCAGTCTCCCATACGGTCTGAAGAAGAACTCACGTACGACTCGAAAGAAATCGAAGGCGTTTCGAAGCGAAGAGCTTAACGGAGATACAGAGAACGCATGAGGAGAACTACGGATGTCTACTACGTTCAAGCGAGTGTCGAAAGATCAGTTTACTATCTCAGTCTGCTGCTTGTGATGTAGCTATCTTCGTTCTCTTGTGTGTGCATGTGGAGATATCTGGGTTTCTCATCTTTGAACGATTATATTGCTGTGTGTTCTTCTGTTCTTCTATTGCTCGTTGGAAGAAATAGATTTGAGGATCCATGAAACCAGAGCTCTTGAGGGGTAGATCGAAGAATGGCAACTACTGAGTTAAGCATGCAAAGAAAGAGAACAATGATGTGGTCTTGCTGTGATGTATCCTCCAAATAAATCTGTGTTTGTGTTCAGATAAAAGAACAAAAACAGCAGAAAGGAAAGAGAAAATGACAATAGAAAAGAACAAAAAATACAGACTAAATGGACTACAGCATCATTGCTAGTTACAATCTTCAGCAGACTCCAAGTATGTGATGGAAAGCTTCTCTTCTGATGATGGTAGAATATGAGACCTGGCTGAAATGTAACATGGGGAAACTAATAGCAGCTGACCAATTAAACAGGTTATGTTTGTCACAACATCTTTCATTAAGAACATTATAGATAGGAAAGTAAATGGACATCATAATAGATTTACAAGATGTTCATTACATTCGAATCCAATGGGAATTTTTTCTGCATGAATTGGCAAGAGCAAAAATCATAAATACATTAGATGGATAAAGATCTGATCTTTCATTTTTGTTCCAATATTAGAGAAAGCAGATTTCCTGATTTCATCATAATAAATTATAGCAGAGTACAAGACAAATATGCAGGATTTTTTAATTTGCATCAGAGCATCAGTTCTAAGTAGACAACTATTTCAAGGCTTCTGACAGTTGACCTTTCTTCTGTCAATTTAGCATTGGCCAAATAGATGGTTCTGAAATCATGCAGACCATTTAAGCCCCCAAAAAATTGCTGCTAAAATTGATTTAGATTGTCTTTTAGACAAGAAATCTATGCTTGCTTGCATATCAGCATATGTACTTCACACACACAGATTTTGCTTGCATTCACCCAATGTCTACATATTATTCACTTTAATGATGGGAATCTCAAAAGCTAAAAGAGAGTGATGGTATAAACTCCAAAAATCTGCATGATTATTGTGTGCACAGAAGGAGAGGAGATTAGAATGCATTGTTAAGACACTCTTCTAAAACCTGTTCTTGGAGTTTGGCCCTACTTTACACTGCAATCTACAGTGTGGCTTTTTCTGGCTCCAATGGTGTAACCACCGACCAGTGTTAATGTCTTCCACAGCTTGCCTTCAACATTTCCTGCTCACTGTTCATCCATTGGCAGTGAAATATCTCAAATTTCTATTCATACAAAAAGTTGCTTGCCCAATGCTTACTTCCAACTTATTTATGGAAAAAAGAGAAGAAAAAAAAGTTTCAGCAGTATTGAAAATCTTACGATAACAATTAGTCTATATCGGAGTGGTTATGATCAAACCTAATATACGTAACTTGACTTTTTCGATCATCAGTGATATGAGACTATCTTCTCATAATATCTCTATGCATCTAATACACAAGAATATTTTCAATATCTCGTCCGCATCTACCTTAATAGTGTGATTCATCCTCATTCAATCAAATCATATCATGACTATCTCAATCCCTTTTTTCTAGCTTATTTTTTTTTTATTTTTGACTCATTTAGATCAATTTTGTGACCATCTAACTCTGATACCATGTTAAAAATTTCACAATGATAAGTCTAAGTTAAATTGGTCGAGATTAATATATATTAGTTCAGATACCAATTCAATTCAAAAGCTTAAGCTTTTAGATTATAGGTTAAACCTAATATATATATAACATAATTCTTTCAATCAATAGTGATATCTTGAGACAGTCCTCTTAGAATATCTTTTATCATCTTATACATATGAATATTTTTAGACAATAAATGATTGGGGACAAAAAGATCAAAAAAATTCAGAGAACAAAGTATATTTTGCTCTCTTCCCTTCTAAATTTCACCTCTCTTGTATGTTGGCCTCAGCAACTCATTTATTTCCTTAGACTGTTCCAATTTTTAGATACTAAATTCCACCACTTGATCAGTTTTGTTTATCTCTCCACACTTTTCAGAACCTAAATTTTATCATTTGACTAGACTTCATAGCTGTAAAGAACATAAAAAGAATAAAAATTTCCTTTTTTATCTGTAAAGAAAGTTCCTGACCAGCATATCTGTAAAGAACATAAAAAGGATAGAAAATCCTATAAAAATTTCTGATAACAACAATGCCTTGAACACTGACTGGCTGATTTACTGGATAACTCAGCAATATTGGTATCAAACACCTCCTAATTTCTTTCTTTCTCCAATCAACATTTTTTAGGTTCTGAAGCTTGAGAGGAACATTCTTCTGTTTCATCTCAAATCACCATGGACATGAACATTGAGTGTTTTCTTTTTTTCTTTGTCCACAAGAAAAAGATGACTTACAATATTAATAGTCCCTGGAAATGGGTGCTTATAGGAGTTGTTTGATGGAAAAACAAAGGGAATTAATCTCTTTTTTTGCTGTTGACAGGCACATAATAAGCAGTCAATGATTGCTTTAATCCTTGAAAACCAAAATCTTCAGAGTTCAGATCTCATTAATGCAACTATGGAACATTTAAAATATATGCACACAAGAAACTGATTGTGGAAATCATTCAAAATGAATGTTAATGAACAATAGAAAGATACTGCAGCATAGATCTGTGTAATGTTTGCATTCCTCTCCATCAAAATCAAAAGAAAGAAAGAAGAGTAAGTTTAGAACAAAGGCCAAACAAGAAAGCATCACTGGTGACATATATATTCATCGAGCAGTGTCGCGGATGGAAAACCTACTCCTTCAACAGCATGCTAAGCTTCAAGATCATTCAACATCTCGCGAATCAGACAACTAAGGAAGAAAAAGTAAAGGAAAGAAGAGGAAGAACTGTTCCATCGCTTCAATAGGCACCACATACAAGAAAAATTATTAGGAAGATGCAACATACCTCAAGGGAATCAGAGTAAAAAAGCTCCACAGTCGCGTATTTGCCGATGCAGCATCATCAAGATTCTCACTGATCAAAACAACTGTGTAATCCATGTGAATCTTGATGATGCCACACCTGCAAACACCGGCTTATACAATGAGCATCGTGCACCACATCGAATGACAAGATCACAGGTAGAGGAGAGATGGATTCGTTTGGGAAAAGCCCTAATGTTGGCCCGAGAAGAATCCCAGCTCAAGATGCTGCTGATCATGAAAGGCAGGAAACAGCATCAAAAACAAGAAGACAGAAGTTGATGCAAGGTCTACTGGCAGATCCGCTCCATGCATAGCACCCCCCCATGAACAAGAGTGCCTGCTGACTCAGAGAGGTACTAGCTGTCGGAAGGTTAGAGAAAGGTGAACGAAGACCAAGAAAACACATTGATGTGTATCGAGGCAACACCAGTAAGGATTATGACTCTCTCTTGAACAAGTGAAACCAAAAGACAGAAGCACATAGAGATCCAAATATCAATGATATGCTCTCTCCTAGAGAAAGATTGTAGTAACAAATAATAATCCTTGAAGCTATCAGAGAATATAAAGAAACCAACCAGGAAGAACTAGATCTAACTTCTCACTACAGATCTGAGAGATTTCCAGCTAAAGGGCCATGTCTTGGAGTCTCAAAGGATGGAAAGAGAGAGAGAGAAGGATGGAGGAGGTTCAGTGAGAAGGGATTAGACCTAAGGAGGGTATTATATAGACAAAATTATCTTTGATGCAGGGATCTAGTGTTGATATTCTAAATCTAGTCTGATGAAGCCACCTTTCAATCAATGACATCTAGCTTAAACTGAATACTTTTACGAATTCGATGAATCATTGATAATAATATAATTAAATTTAAAGTTATTAAAATTTATGTGTGATGAACTAATGCAAACTATAATTTAGTAAACTTCACTAAAATCTTTTTTTCATATAAAAGATAAAACATATGTAGCAGTTTAAGGTTTGAAGACAGTACTCACTGCACTTTGGAGTGTTGTCTTGTTGCAACTCAAACATCATACCAATGCATTACCTCCACAATCTGAGATTACTTTCTATAACCTTTTTACATGAAATCACATGATTGGTCCAATTTATGACAAACCTTGAAGTTAGCTTGTTGTTATCATTCTGAAAACACATCTGAATGCAATGGAACCCTATACTCAATTTCTACTTTTACCTTGAATACTTATCCAATATAGCTTGGCTAGTAAAGACTTTGGTTATTAATAATAAGGTTTTGGAATCAAAATATTCTTTAATAATGAATTACTTATCCTTACACAAGAAACTCTACAATCAAAGTAGTAGAAGATTGCACCCTTATATCACTTGCTTTATAGTGTCTCATAGATTGTAATAACTATTATGGATCAGTGTTGGAAGTAGATTAAATTTGTTGATGAGACAGCAACAAAAGAATAACATTTGGGAACAGTCCTTTATTCAATCCATTATTAGGAAATGGTATCTTCTTTTGTGGCTAAACTGTGTTCCTCATGGCACTTTGTAGGGTTTTAATCCCAAGATGAGGAGGAAAAGTAAAAGGAACTAAGAAATGTAAGAGTTCATTAAACAATAAATATATCTATTCCAAATAAATAAAAACCAAAATGTGTATCAAGTTGTTTTCTAAAAAATGATACTTGTTCTTATAAGGGGACTGGGAACTGAATAGATGCATTTGGAGATGGAAAAAAGATTAGATTTTTCTGTGCAAGAACTGAGTATGTTTTCTATAGGATTTGCAGGCATTATACTATGTTAATTATAATGTTCTCCATTATTAATCTAGGGTTGCTTCTGAAATATAAAGCTTGTCTTAGCAGCATTTACTTTGGCATCAGTGAACAAAATGATCACCTGTTCAACAATAGAGCAGATTGCAAAAGTAGCTATAGCTGTGTGTGGGAACATATCCTGTGCATTGTAGTTGAGTTGAGTGGATATTCCTTTTTCCTTTTTTTCTAATTTTTTATAATGTATTATTTCATCTATGAAATCCTTTTTTTTGTATTTAGTTGTCATTTCTTTAGGTTAATTCTCCCTCTTCAACTTCTCTATTATGATATGATATTGTTGTTTGTGACATACTAACATCTTCTTCATGCCTTGAGGCTACTATCAAGAACTATTGAGAAGATTGTTTGCACAAACATATGAATGCTTGATGCCAATCAAGTTAAAACCATGTTCCTGTAAGAACAAACCTGTAACTTCAAAATTTGCATGAAAATACTCATGCATTCACCTGGAACTGTCTCTTCCATGCCCTCTCATGGCAGTAATATTTATGGTGCTTGATATATCTTTGAGCTCAATGATTCATGGACTTGAGTATAGTCTGGTATAAGCTGCTGTCTAGGTGTCGTTTGTGTTGCCAAAAGAAACATGGTATGTACATATCATGTCATCATGTCGATGTACCTTTCATGCTTCATCAAGCTTCCGTGTCATGGTAAGATTGTTCTTTTGTGATCTCGTTATCATCTTTTTATTTTCACAATTTGAGTATTTCTTGGTAATTAACTTCACTATCTTTTAGTAACATAAATAGGTTGTCAACTGTATTCCAAAGGATACTAAGCATCACATTCTCATTTATCCAAACTGATTAGAAAGTTATTCTATGCTTAATTATGTCATCAACAAGTTACTTGTCTCATTAACTCAATTAGGTCTACATAAATAGTACTCAAGTTCTTCACTTTGTTTAATTTGGAAAAGTTTTTAGATATTGTAGTGGTATAAAATAATAATATGCCTTGAGTCATCTTATTGTAATGTTATTTATGTCTCCAACAATGTACAAGGTTCTACCTAATCTGAGACTCAGCTGTCACCCTTAAGTGAGGAACAACTTTAAGAGAGATTGAATTGAAAATCTTGTTGAGTGCTTTATTGAGAATTTAGGTCTCATTTACTTTACTACCTAATTGAGTTCCTCATTGAGATCTATCTGACATGTTTCAAGAACCTTGGACTAATAATATTAGGACCTGTTCAATCAAAGTTCAACTAAATAAGATATAGCTGAGCTGTTAGTGAATCACTCATCCTAGTAGTGACTGGGAATCCTTCCTAAGTTTCATATGGTTGTTTATCTTGAGTTAAATAAGTTCCGAATCCAAACACACTGATCTCATCAGTAAACCCTCTTGGACATGATAAAATCTATGAGAAGAACTATAACTGTGCTTAATGGGCAATTGTAATCTTAGATGTTGATCAGCATTCTTTTAGCTTCTTTAGTTCTGACTTCAAATAGCCTCTTAATCCACAATTCCAAAGTGCAAACAATTTAAATGAGTTTGTGAAGGTCTTTTTGGATCCACATAAACCTTGAAAGAATCTTTAGAAAGAGTATTCATGCCTTGATCCAACAACAAGATACATGTCATCTACAAAGTATAACCATAAAAGGTATAGTACCAGGAAGCTATTTAAGGGATTTCCTTACCTCCATTTCACCCATCAATGGAAATAGGAGAAATCATAGGTAATGTTATTCCTATGCTGTGCCAAAGATGTAAATGTTTAATGGCATAGGGAGCAAAACCTAATGCTAGAGAGTAATTATGAGCCATTTGCTGGCACTTGTTGATTACTTAGCTTTATCATACTGGGCTGCCATATGCATGCCACCTTCTACGAACCTATTTAACCTTATCAGAACATCAAGAAGGGTGTTGTTTCCACTTGTTATTCTCAGTTTGCACATGCCATGGACATTACCTGTCTCTCTATCATTTCAAACTTAGATTGGTCAAATAGAATGGAAGGCCTAATATTTAAGGCATAAACTGATTGGGACAAGTACATGATGGTTCCAGAGAAAAAAATATCAATTTGATTAGATTTAGATTAGATTCTTGTCAAAGGTTATGCCCCTCTCAATGATGTGACAGACACTAAGGATACTTTTTGGATGTTTGGACAATGTAGGATGTGAAGCTTCTTCATTATAGATCAAAAACAAATCATGTAACCCATTTTCTAGATTAATCTTGTTCAAAGAATAACCCATCTAATTAGATAGGGTCATAGTAACCTCAGAAATATAAAGATTATTTGAACATAGAGTGTTGAGTATCTATCATAATTTTTGGTTGGGAATCCAATTCAATTTTGTTTTTATGGAGCTGTGTGCAGATCAAATCATCTAATCAACTTTTTTTATGTGAGATTAATTCAAAACTTACCCTAATAAGAGGAGATCCATTTCTATGGCTCCTGCCATCCTTCCTCATACACACACAATATTTATCTTCTGAGAACTGTTTCAGGTGAAATCACAGGAAGCATGCATGCACCACCAAAGCTTTTGGTGTCTGACATGATCTACTGATGGATGGACATCATAAACCCTAACCAATGTAATTAAAGCATATACTACTCTTAAAGTTCAGCCCCTGGCATTAAGAAGTAACATTAAGGAATCTTTTGGTGCACTTTGCTTGCATAGATTTTGCTTTCCACCTGTTCTAGAGCATAAAAGAACAGTAATGTGATGCTTTTGTGGATGGGACTGCAACCTAGTACTCTTGTCTGGTCTTGGTGACCTTGCAGCCATCATTAACATCATAGATTTCTAGGTTTCTGAGTGTTCTTTATTGATTCATGCATGCTAATATATGGAAATGTTAGCATTACAAAACAATGCATTTGGGAGGCATTTGCTAGTGGAGGCTGCATGCGTGACCTGCAACAGCATGTTCTCCTTGTTCATGCAACTCCTCCTTTCTTGACCTCATTATGAGCAGAAGAACAAGTATATGGATTGTGTTAGTGATGTACTTTGTACTTAGAAGGTGTTTTCTATCTCCAGAGTGGACTGTTTGCATGTTCTCCTTGTGGCTTCAGGAATCATTAGACTGGACTCTTTTAAGCTTTGAGAGAGCCATCTCCTTTTCTCATGAATAAAATTAGGAGTAAGATGGCTCAGGTGGAATCTCTCTGAAGAAGTTTGTATATTTAAATGGAGCTGAATAAAGTTACACAAATATGCATGTAGTATTGTTGGATAGTCTTTGCTAAATGAAAATGCATCATGAAAATATCCAAAGATGAAAGATTATAGTGAACAGAGACACCAATTAAAGATATAGGTGTGATATTGAAAGAACTTCTTAATCTCTCAGAAACATAAGACATTCATAGTGTAGTATTGTGTGAGGATTTGTTTTCAAGTATTTTAAGTATCTCTATGTACACATAATTGAGGTGAAGGATGCATTATTTCTGCACTTTCATTCAAGCATAAACCCTTATGATTGGTTATACTGTCTTAGCCACTGTGGTAGAGTAGATAAGACATGAGTGAATGAGAAGGAGAATGTTTGACATACACTTGGGAAATAGTTTATAATCTCATAAACAATTATCTAAATTAAACAATATAATTACAAGATTTAGTGCCCCTCTTGGCTAATGAAAAGTGTGTCAAGATGTGAATTCCCTATCCAATCTGATTAACATCTTAGTCACAATTAGTGCTTAATAAAGTCATTTTCTATTACCAAATACCTCATGAAAACACACAAATCCACCCCAATCTCATTATGTTTTGCATGATGTCATACTAGAGTAACTAGAATAAATAATGATCATATAAGAATTCATGGTAAGTAGGCTATTTATGCTCCCCCCCAATTCATCATTAAGCTCATTCAATTGTTTTGAGTGAGTCTAGTAAGAAGTGACATGAAATCTTATATTAACATTACAAGCACATCATATATATTAACCAAAAAAAAGAAACCTCCATGCACTTGACTGATACCATTATTCATAATATTGTTAATTTTATGCAATTTACCAATATAATTTTTTGCCTCATTACATGTGATTGTAACACTAAAAAATTCAATATGAGGATGGTTGAGGTGGGACTCTGTACACGAGAATTACCATACTCGCGGTTGGATCCTTTTGGGACCCACTTGTGGGAGCGATGCGGTGGGCTGGGTGAGCAATCTGGGTAACCTGGACTGGCGTCGGTTCCCCGAACATGGGCTTCTCGGTTTGCATCGCGTGATCGGCCCAAGATATGGTGCACGAAAAGCCCACGAAGCGTACGGCCGAGATCTCCCGGCTCGAGTGACGGACGGTGGAGTCGACGGCCATCACTGATCCGACGGTCCGAAACATTTAATTGTCATCGCAATGAATTGATCCGGAGATTGGAAACATATAAATGCCATCAAATGGATAGAAAGGAATATATGTGTGAAAAACAAATTTAGGAGGGCGTTTAAGAAAATGTCACCAAACGGAGATGTAGGGATATCTGTGAGAAATTCTATTTGATTAGGGTGTTCTTGAAAATTGTGAACACTAGTATGTATTTTATACAATAAAGAGGGATCTAAGTGTAAATCTGTTTACGTGTATATAAAGGGTTGGGGGGGCCTCGGAACCATAATCGAAAGCGCGCTCGGTAAAGAACGCGAAGAGGAGAGAGAGGGAAGGAGGTCGCAGCAGGGAAAAGGTTCGGTCTCTCCTACGATCTCTCGTTTCGATTCCATGGCTGTTCTTAATCATAGCGAGAGGAAAGGCGAGGGAGATCCTTCGGAGAGATACAGGAGGTTGGAGGAGGAGGACGAGGACGGCGACGATGATGTCCAATCCCTTCGACGAAGACGACGATTCCCAGGCCTCCTCCTCCCGCTCTTCCTCTCCCATATTATTCCCCTCTTTATCTCTCTCGGTATTCGGATCTATGATCGGCACGGCGGCGGCTTTCCGTTTGTTTCTTGAGATTCGATTTGATGAAAAATACGGGGTTTGGAGGATAGTGTTTTGGGCCGGACAGATCGTTCAGGACATACAGCGCTGTTCTTTCCCTGACCAAGGATCCAATCTTGGACTCGCAATTTGATTGATTTGTCCGCTCAACTTTCTTGAATGGGATTCTCTATTTCGAAGATTTGTTTGAATCACATACAGAAAAGATGGACAGTGGTGTTCTTCCCTGATGAAAGATTCAATCATGAGCTCCCTTGATTTCCTATACTCGATGATTATATTGATTGATCTGTCTTCTGTTGTCTTGTTCTTGAATGGGTTTCGGCGGCAGCGTCCATGAGTCACCCGATTGATCAGCGTCATCATCCTGCATCTGCATCATTGAGGATGCCCGTTTGTAAATTTTGGTTGGCTGGGCGTTGCACCCGCTATCAATGCCCCTACCTACACGGTCAGAATCCGCCGTGTGCCTCAAACAGAAACAGCAGTGATAAAGGTATCTCTTGGAGAAGAAGTCATGCCCGGAAAAACCCTAATGTCGGTCGCTGTAAGAAGCAACTCCATAACGTTAATAATGGGCCGAGCAAACCGACCAATGAGCTAGATCACAAGGACTCTTTTTGTAGTCCTTCATCTGATGGAGGCATCCCTTGGAGAAGAAGTTATGTCTGGAAAAACCCTAATGTCGATCCCTGTAAGCAGCAGCTCCATGAAAATACTGGAGGGCCAAGCAACCAAATGATTGAGCTAGATCACAAGGACTCTGTTTGTAGCCCTACACCCGAGGAGCACTGTCCACCTTCGTTGCACAGCAGCGGAGAGTCAAGCAAGCTGACAAATGAGGGTAATATGATTCAACAAGAACATGAGGAGGCTGTCTGCAGTCCATCCAAGGAGCATTGTCCACCTCTGATCCACAGTGTGGTCATGCTCGATATGATCAATAAGGCAAGTTTAATTACAGACGATCATGTGGCAACCAAAGAGAAATGCAATGACCTCAATCCTTGGTTTGAATACTTGATTGATTTACAAGGTCATGCGAAGGTGAAATTCAAAGCTCTTGGCCTCAGTGATTTCCCCTTCATAATGTTATCACCCTGAATTACTGTTCTCATGACATTTGCAATGGCAGGGGATTGTGGGGATAGCCCTCCCAGCTGGGTCAGACAAGCTATACACTGGCAGTCGAGATGGAATAGTCCGAGTTTGGAACTGTAACACTGGCCAGGTTGATGTCTTTGCACTTGATGTTTCTTTGTAGCTTCAATTTAGTGTGAAGTTTGACAAACTTTGTGTTCTTGCAGTGCATTATGATGGTAGATATGGAAGCTGAAATCATATGCATGTTCAACAAAGGGCCATGGGTGTTTGCCGGTGTTCACAAAGCTGTTAAGGTTAGAGTTGTAAACTTTCATGTGTATCTTTTGTTGGCTAATGGAAACTGTATTTGGATGTGCTGTTGTGAGTTCTCAAATCTTTGTCAAATGCTGTTGCAGGCATGGAATACAGAGACTGGCTTGCAAATAAGCCTAGAAGGATCCGCTAGCCGGGTGAATGCCTTGGCATTCCAAAACGAACTCCTCTTTGCTGGACTCGAGGTAATTTTTGCTAGCTTTCATGTGGTTTTAAGTGTGCAATATGGTCAGTTGGTGATCTTACCTGTACTTGATGTTTTGCAGTCATACTATACTATAAAATGATTTACTAAGCAGTCTTTCATGACTGATACTCTAAATTCTTATCTTTTTCCTAATTTCAGTATGGAATTATTCTAGTGTGGAAGTCCAATACAGAGGGCAACAACTTTGAACCAGCTGCTGTACTCACTGGGCATAGACAAGCTGTTGTGAGCTTGATTGTGGGAGTTAGGCTTTACTCTGGATCAGTTGACGAGACAATTAGAGTAAGTACAAGTGTTTCATTTTAACATCTTTACGTCTGATTATTGTGATTTCAGAATAACTCTGTATTCTATGGAATTTAACGAAGAGATACTAGTAGAAGATCATTACATTGTTCATGTGGTGCACATAATCCAGTCCTTGACATTGCTGTCTTATTTGTTAAACATCATGTCCTCAAAGTATTCAGTTGCCTCCTGTCAGCTGAACCATAATCTAAACTTCATGTGTTGTTGGTGTGTGGCCAAATAAATGTATATTGTATGTGACAACTTCTTGGGAACTACTGACAACAGTAAACATACAAAGGATCGATTGATTTCATTTTCAGTAAATTTCAACTTGATGCACTAAGTCTGCCACTTCCTCGGCACAATTCTCCATGTCCTCTTATGTGACGGTGAAGAAGGATGCTTCTTACTTTTATGGGTATTTGTTGCATGTGATTTCAATTTGATGACATAGATATAATTAAATCGATATTAAATTTTGTTTCAGGTCTGGGACCTCGAAACTCTTGAGTGCATTCACACTCTCGAGGGCCATACATCAACTATTACATCTGTATTGTGCTGGAACGACTATCTCTTATCTTGCTCATTGGACTGCACGATTAAGGTAAGATTTCTTTGCTTTTTTCTAAATTTAATGATTTGCATTCTCAATTTTGTTATTAATTCTTTTAAATGCAGGTTTGGGCAGCCACGAATACCGGCAGTATGGAACTAATATATACCCACAATTTAGAGCATGTAAGTTGCATATGTTTATTCATTTCTTTTGGATGAAGGTTTTATTTGTTTTAGTGCATCCAATTATTTTAGACTATCAATTGTGACTTGCGATAAATTTAGAGAAAAGAATTAAATATCTACTGGCATTTATATCAAACATTTCGAAGCTCAGTAATGAGACTGATTTAAGAGGAAATCAGTGGAATGGCTAGATTGCATGATATCCTTCTTTGTCAAATGCTTCTCTATGATACACTTTATCCTGTCCAAGCCAGATTTTGAGAGAAGAAAACACTAGTGAGGAAACCATATTGGAGTTCTTAAATTAATTGGAAGAACTTTTGATACATCTTTGTTACTTTTTTAACACACTTATTTCTTATACTACCATGGTACTTATAATAGTCTTATGAATTCTGTGCAACATTAGTCCTTTGTGGTTTACATCCTCGTCACATTGTTGAATTTATTCCTTCCCTAAAGAACAAGCACAGAATGGGCAAACAAACCCTCATCTTCATTTGAAGTCATTGCCATCAACATTGTTCTGTGCCAGCTGAACGATTAAAAAAAAGTGAAAGAAACATTCCCAAAAATTTAGTTATTAGCGTGTGCATCACCTTCTATGTATCTTTCATTAATTACTTCTTCGACATCATAAAATTTTTGTTGTCCATGTGTCTTTTCAACTTGTCCCAGCTTCTATTTAGTACTGTTGTTGAAGATAGTCTGTTTTACTTTAAGAAGTTATCAACATAATGGAACTATGAATATAATGGTATAAATAGGCATTTGAAGTGGAAATTATATATTGCATGAGCTAAAATATCCTTGACACTAAAGTTTTGTGAACATGCTTTGATTTACGAACCTGATTTGTTTACCTTTTGTGCTTCGAAGACAACCATTTCCTTTCATAATCTCCACAAATGACTTGCACATTACATGAATGTTCAAATTAATTTTATGTCTCTAGGAAATTATGACCGTGTTCTTTATCATAATTAACATGTTACTTGATCTGTCACAGAGAGTTTTAGCAATGGAAGGAATATACGATGCAAATGAGAAACCAGTTATAATGTGTTCCCTTGATGACCACAGTGTTCAAATGTTTGAACTGCCATCGTAAGTATCTCCATCACAAGTATTAGCTCGTAAGGCATCTCATGTATTTTGTCTAATGTGCTTTCTACTCGAAATGTTAGGTTTGGTGGAAGAGGGACGATATTCTACAAGAGTAACGTTAGGTCACTGCATATCGGACCGTCGGGGCTCTTTTTCACCGGAGATGAGATGGGTGCCGTCAAGGTGTGGAGGTATTTGACCAATGTATCACCGAGTGATTGAGTTGACACTTTGTATCTGTTATCAGTCATGTTAAATGAATAAAAATGGTCATAAGACCAGTTTGTTTTTTGGTGCCAACTTCTTGTTTCTTACTGATACATGCATTATACTGTACAAAAGGAACATTGTAATGTTATGAGTTGCCATGTCTATCTTGTCCCTAAAAAGGATGGATAATGTACATTTTTCATAGAATGAAAAGTTTTAAATGATCGATAGTAGTTTTAAAATCAGCATCTACCAAACATAGAATCGGAATTAAATTGTTCTAATCGATTTTGAACTCGAAACATCTCTATTTTTTTATTTTAAATTTTTTTTAAAAAAATTTCTAATTAGTCATTTATTAAACTTTTGGAAAGATGTATTCATCATGGGTATTTAGATTTTTTTGTTGTCAATTCAGAAATGATTTTGGTTTTGACTCTAAATTTCAAAAAACAAAATAGAACCATCAAAACCAACCAAGTTCTGGTTCAGCTCAAAATTATCGATTGTCCAACCAATGATCCAATTTCTGATTCGAATATGATAAAGTTATTTATCCGCATATTGGTTGAAGAGTATGAGATCTAAGGGCTTATAAGCCTATCAGGTCTCCCTTACTCTCAAAGACTTTTTTGGAGTTCATATCTTCGAAAAGACAAAATCGTGCGGGTACATCCATCGCCCAAAGCGAATAATTCTTTGCGAGCCTACAAGCCGCACTAATGGTCGACCAATCAAATGGTTCCTTATCATATTGACGCTAAAAAGAGGGTCACCTTAGCTCGCCTACGGGAGGGAGCACTGATAAGATAATTTAGTCTCATATTAATTGAGGAGTATGAAACATAAGTCACATATCATCTGTTATGTATATCTTGGAAATGGTGACGAGCAACTTTGCTCACAAGAATCCCCACCACTTATTCAACTTCGACTATGCTCTCTGAGAAGATAAATAGGCTACCGATCTTTGTCAAGCGATAACTACAACCAGCGATTCCACATCTCAGGTTGACTTCTCGCTTTTTATTGCTGTCTTTCTAACATATCAATGGCATGTCGTAAGCGATGAGTACGACAGGTAAAGCATTAAACATAAGGATCGCTGGGAAACAGTGAATGCACCAAATGCGAAGGATGAGTGTAATAAATCGAGAGCTGCACTTTATTATTTCATACAAAACGATACATTGATGTCATATAAGGCATTCCTGTCTTGTATTATTTGATGATTCAAATGCTACGGTCTACCAAGAACACGCACAGTCTCCAACCAAGCTTCCGTGATCACACCCATTCACGCATGAAGAGTACCGGTGGTGGAAGACACAACAGAGCAAAATGTGGCAGCATCAGCTTGCCCCTCCTCCTGCTTATCACCTCACGCGCCCTCAACCTCGTCTCCTTCGTTCTCCCCGGACATCTCCTCCAGTGACTTCCCCTTCGACTCCGGCACCAGGAGGGTGCAGAGCAGCCCCAGGAAGTTGCAGGCAGCGAGCAAGAAGAGCGAGTTCCTGACCCCGATCCCCGCCGGGTACCCGTGGTCGGTCTTCGCCGGGTCCTGGTTCTGCGCCAGGTACAAAAATCCGAAGGAGCCGACGATCGCCCCCAGCTTCCCGGACGCCGCCGAGATGCCGTGGCAGGTCGACCTCAGCCTCGCCGGGAAGATCTCCGCCGGCACGATGAATGTGGTGCTGTTGGGCCCGAAGTTGGCGAAGAAGAACGTGAAGGCGTACATGACGATGAAGCCGATCTGGTTGCCCTTGGTGATCCAGTGGTAGTAGGGGATGGCGAGGCCGAGCATGAAGAGCGTCATCATCAGGAAGCCGACGAACTGAATCACGAACCGGCCCATGACGTCGATGAGCGCGACGGTGAACCAGTAGCCCGGCACCGTGCCGCAGAGGGCGATGAGCGTCTGCGCCTTGGCGATGCGGAAGACCTCCTCGAGCGCGTTCATGGTGGCGGGCTTGGGGATCCACCCGATGGCGCTGAAGATGTCCTTCTGGAACAGGTTCTGGCTGTAGAACGCGATGTCGAGGAGGAACCAGCAGGTGGTGGTGCCGAGCAGGTGGACGCCGTGGCGACGGAGGAACTCCATGGAGAAGAGGCCGAAGGCGTTCGCCTGCGCCCCCGTGATCTGCTCCACCTTCTCTTGCTCCTCCTCCACCTCGACATGCAGGACCTTCGACATGTCGGCCGCCGCCCGCTTCGCGTCCTTGGCGACGAGCGCGGTGTAGCGCGCGGTCTCCGGCATCTTCGTGCGCCAGTAGTAGGTCAACCCTGCCGGCACCGATCCGAACATGAGAATCATGCGCCATACGTAGTCGGCCTCCGGCACGGTGGATGCTACAGGGTCGACGGCGTAGGCTGGAGCCGGGAACCGGTCCTTGAACGCCGTGGCAACGATGATGGCGACCATGCCGCCGGTGAGAATGCCCACCCCCTGCATGGCGAAAACCGCGGCAATGAAGGCGCCGCGAGTCTTCTTGTTGGCGTACTCCGACATGATGGTGGCCGAGAGGGGGTAATCCCCGCCGATGCCAAACCCGAGCCAGAAACGGAAGAAGCAGAGGGTGGCCATGACGCTCTTGGCGTTGTTGCCGAAGGAGAGGCCAGAGGCGACGGAGCAGAGGACCATGAGCATGAGGGTCATGCCGTAGACTTGCTTGCGGCCCATCTTGTCGCCGAGCCAACCGAAGAAGAGCTGGCCGGTGAGGGTACCGACGAAGGCAACCCCATTGACGGAGGCGGAGACCTGGGGCGGGAGGGTGCCGGGGGTGGGGGAGCCCTCCACGTGGTAATAGATGCGGCCGAGGAGCTTGGTGACGAGGGAGATGCAGAAGAGGTCGTAGGCGTCCGTGAAGAAGCCCATGCCGGCGATGACGATGGCCGTGAAGTGGTACCACTGGGTCTTCGCGACGTCGAGCGCGTTAAGGACTTGGAGCTGCTCGCTCCCCATGGTGGCAGCGGCTTACTCCTCTCCTCCCTCTCCTCTCTTCTCCAACGCCTCGCCACGGCGAACACAGATTCCATCAGAAAGAACGTAACTGAGACACAAAACAACTAGACGAGAGTAAATCCATTACCTTTGGTTAGGTTTCGGAAGACGGAAATCGGAGAGGTGAGGGAAGAGAGGAGGCGGGAGGAGGGAGGAGGGAAGTAGGCCGGGAGAGGACGAGAAGACGGAGGCCATATTTAAGGGTGAAGGCGACGAAGGGCGTGCGACAGGTGTTCAACTGTCAGGGTCAAACGGGCCGCATCTTCCGCGACGACTTGCTATATTTAGCATAGGATTAATTCCATAATTAGACGGAGAAAACTAGAATCTTCCTATATTGAGGGGAATGGTGACGACTGGATTTAGTCAACCTTTCTATATTTTGCTTTCGATTTTTTTTGTCTTTTTTTTTCTCAATAATTTTTATATATTTTCTTCCATTTGTTTACTTAAATCATCTTTCTATTACAAATACTTGGTCTTAGTAATTGTGCCAATTAGCTTGCTGTTTTACTCTCACCAATTGGACATTTATTAGTGACATGGTTGAGCTGTCTGGTCTGCAACTGAGTAGGGTTTGGGTTCACTAATTCAGGATTTATTTATATTTATTTATTTATTATCCTTCCTAATCGTATCATTATCTTCCATCTCACTTGTCTACGGAGACTTAAATCCTCAAAGCCACTCTTTATGTTCCAAATATTAAGATTGGAACCCATTTGTCAAATTTAACTGAAATGGAGTAATAAGTCAAAGAATAAGATCAGATTTTGATCATCCATCATCAAAGCTAAAATAGTAGGGTGTTCGATTTGATTTGATTAAGATAGGATATATCTGAATCAAAATAGGTATGGACTTATGTAATTGAATCGAAACTAACCTAAGTTACTCCAATAGTGTAAGACCAGCTGATTGGATGATATATTATTTGAACTGAGGCAGGTTGCAGTGTCCACTAAGCTGCCATTTGTCATTGCTCTTATCTTACTTTAGGTTCAACATTTTCCATGTCCTTGAGCTTTAAGGACTAGCAATCAGTCACATCTGTAGGCTTTTGACATCCACTTTTGGAATTCAGCATCTCTGCCAACCTCTTGTTCCAATGGAATAGAAAAAGGCACTGCTGATCAAGCTTCTTTTTTGCCTTTTGCTTCTTGTGTTGCTTGTCAGTACAGTATCAGTACTGTAGATTGATAGATCTCCCCACCCCCCTTCCAAAGATAGAGATATCTACTGTTTTCTGGTCTGTTCAGTTTACATATATCCTTCTGATGAGGCCATTTAGCTGCATGGAATTCCAGTGATGCAATATGGATGCAAACTTGGTTTTCTGAGTTGCAGCAACAATTCCATGTTTATGTTATGATCTGGTGCAGTTCAGAAAAGGATATTGTATCTTATATTTTCTTATGTTGAAATGGATTGTTGGAGAGAAGAAAAAGCTGCTTGGTCCAAACACAATCAATGGCAGATGCTAGTGGGGAGTACATGGATAGTTGCCACTGCTTTCATAAAATAAAATATAAGATGTTGAGATGGCCACACCCTTCCTGATTCATGGAACCTCAAACACTGCAATCCATGGTGCATCAGTCAAAATATAGGTTCATAAATGATGAAGCTTGATCAATCATCACAAAGCATCTCATGAGACTTGTACATTTAAGATTTAAGTGCAGACCAAAAGTTGGTTTGTACTTGAGAACCCTTTGTTGTATGCTTACTTCCTTTTGCTAATGACATGAAGAAAACCTCCTCATCTTAGATTGGTAAGTTGGAAAGGAAAAGAAACAGTAGTTCAAAACTTCTTATTCTGCATTTTGCATATCCAAACTCCTGAGATCTCTTATCATCAGTTGCAGGCAGAGCGTTGATAAAGGTGGCAGTACTCTTTCATGCTTCTCATAAGCTCTGCACATCCAATATCATGGCCTGAGAGTTATGTAGGATACAAACATGATTAACTATAAATCTTGCTGCAGTTGTAATCCGACAAAGATATATAGCGAAATATTGTAATAGTGTAAGGCTTTCATCCACATGAACTGCATGGCATTACTGCAGGCCTTGAATGAAGACTTTGTGGAAAGGTTTAGCTGTCTGCCACCAAATTCAATGCAGAGAAACACATCCATTTCTTCAAAACATTGGTTCATTCAAACAATTCAACTGCATCAAACACTCAATTTTATTACCCAGTTTTTCTGATCATGTCAGGTTCCAAGCTATTCTATTCAAGTGTGGCATTTACAACATCAAGAAAGAAGAGGATTAGCTCCTCATCATCCTCTGAGCCATAGCTTGCAGCTCCCCAAACTCATAGTGAGGTGTCCTCTTCCTGCAGAACTCTTGGGCGGAGACATCCTCCCTGCAGCCCATCTGTTGCATGAGAAGCACTCCATCGGCGCCGTACTCCGAATCAGACTGCAGAAAGACACTGAAGTTCTCTTGACACTGTTGATCCTCCAAAACTCTCGACAGTGCCGCTCTGTAAGCCAACTGTGCCTTCACCTGCATCACCTGCGCTTGCAGTACCGCTACCTATCAATGCCGGGAGAAGGATCAGTAAGTAGGGTTCTTCGCAACCACGCGTCCGAGCTGTAGCGGAATACAAGGAACAGAAAGATCACCTGCTGCTGGAGAGCAAAGATGTGGCCGACACAGCCGTACACAGGGTCCTTGATCCGCGCTTGAGCCTCGTAGGCGATCGTGGCGACAGCCTCGCACCGATCGTGGACCGGAACCTGCGCCAAGAGCTTGGACACGTTGCTGGCGCCAAAGACCCTGTGGATGGCAGCGAACTGGGCCGGTGACTGGTCGGAGCCGAAGTAGGGCGCGAAGATGCAGTCCGACGTGCACTTCCTGCGCAGGAACTTGCAGGCGCCGCATGGCGAACCAGCCCCGGTCGCCATCGATGGAAGATCGATCGATTGCTGGGGTTTCAGTGACCTGAAGAGGCAGCAGGTGGTCTTTATAGGAGCTTTGGGGCGAGAGACATGGAAGGTAAGGGTGTAGGGTTTTGAGGGAGCAGTGCATTCAAGGCATGGGTGCTTCCATGGTATTTTATGGTGGAGTGATGAAGTGAGGCTCCATAAACTATGCATTTTGCGCCGAACGCCGCACTTTGAGACTCTCCATCGTGGCTGCTGTTGCTTTCTTCCAGGTTTGCCCTACTCCTCCTCCTACCTGCTTCGACCAGTTACTCACCAGCTAGTCGCCAAATCCTGCTTTGTTTACACCATTCTTTTCTTTAGATTAATGGGGAGAGTTACAGCAGGCGCTTTCCACACAGGGATTTGGAAGAACTCGAAGGTTTTCTCCATCATTCACTGCACTCTATCTTCTTCAGTCTCGCATTAGATAGCATTAAAGAGGTGGTGACTTCATATATGTTCATCCTTTTCTGTCGGCATCAGAAAAGAGTGTGTGGGCTGATCATCAAATTTTTATTTTTTATACATATATTGATTCTAGAGATTCAGAAAAGATCCTTCTAAAATCTAAGAAAAATAAACCTCTCAAAAGTTCTGAAATATCAACAATCATATACAAATTTTGATGAAAAAATATTACTCAATTCCATAAATATTATTTTCCCAAAATAATCAAGACATGAAGAATTGAGCATTCAGGGAAAGGCAACAATGTAGGAATTAAAATATTTTATTATTTATATATAATTTTGTTTTTCACAACCCTTAACGTCGTGTCGTTCGTTGTTTCATCTACTATCGTTTTGTTTCTTACTCAACGCTCATGATTAGAAAAAGAAGAAAAAAAAAAGAAAAAAAAAAGAAGATGAGGAACGTATTTACGTCTATTTATATAAAGATATTTTAGAAATATTATTATTTTTAAATCGAATTGTAAATAGCAAAGGGGGCTACAAATAAAAATCTCCATATAGAATGATTTAAGATGGCAGAAAATAGATTATCAAAAAAATAACATAAGAGTGACAAATTAATATAAAGTAGATAATTTTGATCTCAAAAGAACTTTTTAGTTATGTAGCTAATCAGTAATATTCATATGCAAAGCAAAAACTTATTATTATGTTTTGATCTGAATTTTATGGAAAATATTTTTTTATTAGTAATTTATAAGGTACATTTATCGTATATATATATTACTAATTTATAAGGTATATACATATATTATATGTATATAAATATAAATTATATATATATATATATATATATATATTAATTTTCATATGCAATATCTATTTTTGCAACATGCAAATAAAGATTCGTGAAGGACTAAATTGTAAATGAAGCGAATGCACGGTAGAGATTACCTCATCGCGTGGGTTCACGAAATGGACGGTCAGGATCGGCGGAGACAAACTCGAACCCATCCTCCTCGGCCGGGGAATGGATTCCTTGCTTCGAGCTTAAAATATGATGGAACGGCTCGATAGGGTTCTTCCGGTCCGAGATCACCCCGTCCCCTTTTGCTTCGTCGCCCCGCAAGGGTACGCTCTGATCCCGGATTCTGCTCCCCCTTTCTCTTGGTTTTGACTTGATTTCTTTGGATCTGACGAGTGTGAAGATCGGATTTGTATCTTTGTCGTTTTAGCTTCTCTTAGATAGAGATTGATCTGAGGGTTGTTCGAGACCAAGAAGTCATGGAGGGTCTGACGGATCACGTAGGATGAAGGATCGATAGGTAGATGCAAAGAGAGCGGGTTTGTAGTTGAAGAAGGATAGGAGTTCCGAAGAAAGTTTCCTGCTCGATTACGGGGCCTGGGAATTGTCAGGTTTTGGAATAAGAAGCGGCATATGCTTCTGCTGCCGCGTAGACCAATCGAAGACAGTTTAGTTGTCTTTGCTTTTGGGAACAGTGGCTTTGAATTGATTAAGTGGATCGCTGATGTTCCCGAAAATTTCTGGCAAGGTCCAGATCCTAAAATGTTTGATGCGAATTTTGTAGCATGCAAAAACATGAATTCTAGGTTGATAGATCACTGTCTTCGCTAGCAAGTTTAGGATTGGTCCGTCTGTTACAGTATTGTCGTCCATTAGCTATTTTCCGTGAGGGAAAAATAGATCTTAGCTAATAATAAAAAGTAAAAAATCGGGTTAGTTCAGTTTGAAGAATCTTTATGTCCATGTACTCTGAAGAAAGCTAATTCATGTATGCTTTACTGTATGAACACAATGGCCATGTTACATTACATTCATCATGGTAACCAAATTAAATAAATCAAAGAAACGTCAAGAAAAAAATAGAGACCAAAGCATATCTCATAGTCAAGGAAAGGGAACCAAATCAAATAAATCATCGTAATGTTAGAGGGCTTTGTCATACAATAATGGCATGTGCCTAAGTGTTGGAGGAGTTACGGTGATTTATTGATTTGGTTCCCTTACTTTGACCATGAGATTTCGTATCTTAAGTTTAAGATGTCACATGTTTTGGTTATATTGGTTAAGTCTATTTTCTGTTTTGAGAGTTGATTAATAAGTTGATAGAAAATAATGACTTAGACCTAAGTGCTAGAGGAGTTACAGTTATTTGACTTGGTTTCCTTTCTTTGACCATGAAATAAGCCATTGTATCAAATTTTTTCTTGTGGTATGATGCATTTGAACATTCAGATATTTGTTGAGTCATTGGAACTTGAGGTTTTCAGCACTTTTCTGGGATCTAATTCTTTGCCAGTATTGGCTATCAGATGGTCCAGACCCGATGAGGGGCATGTGAGGCCCCATGGATGAAACTAATTTGAATTCGAATCTTAA